GTTGTTGTTGTTGTTGTTGTTGTTGTTAGAGGCTGTGATGAGTTTGCTACGCTTGCATTTATTATGGGATTACCTGTTCCAGAGGAAGCTGTTGGAGACTGAGAAGGCGGCGTTAGTTCTGTCGTTGTTGTGGTTGGGGTTAAAGCAGAGCTTACTGCAGCTGGTGCTAGTGTACCCCTGCTGTTGCAGTTACAATCCAAGTTGATGTGGCAGTGTTTACGGCTGTTGTGAATTTATCCATCCCATTGGACATTTATGTAGTCTCTAATGCTCCCGTTATCTTAGGCATTAGCGTTTGCAATAGCCCACTGTAGTTGATTCTGCTAGAGTGCTTGTATTATGGCTCGAAACTGAGTTGATTTTGCCCTGATTGCGCATTCTATAGTCTTGTCTGTTCTAGTGAACTTTGGTGTGGTCAGTGAATCTCCCGGTTGCGCTGGCGTTGACCATATAATTAGAATTGTGCGCCCTTTCATTACTTGTTTCAATTGTGTCTGTTGTTATTGTCGTTTTTGTTGGGAAATGCCCCAGTGTGGCAGTAATTGTGGTTGCTGTGAGTTTATCCACAGCACTGGATGCCGCTGAAGTCTGTGAGGCTCCTGTTGCTGTTGTAGTTTTGCTCTCCGAATTTATTTGTGCTGTGCTGTTGGCTATTATTTTCAAAGGCTTCGTTGATGATGCTGAAAGTTTGCTTCTAAATGCAGCAAAAGTGATAATCACTACATGAAGAACTACAAAGAATTAAATCTTTAGATTAAGGTGTGGGTACTGCTTTCAGATTTTGCCAACTTATGTAGCAGATATTAATGAGCATGTGTCAATTTTGTCAGCTATATTTGACAATATTTCTTTGGTGCATCTGTGCTTTTGTAAAGCTAGGGTCTTCCAATTCCTTTAAAACGATTCTCATTGCATTGTGAAATGGTTTAAATGGATATCTCAGCTACACATTTTTATTTCCTCTCATAACGTTTACCACCCTAAAAGTGGTCTGCATTCTAATAATTGTGAAACTTTTTTTCGCGCATACCCATTCTTCTAGTTCCCTGTTAAGTTCTGTACTTCTTAAAACACCAGCATGTTCGTGCATATAGAAAGCGCTATAAGGTAGCTCAAATTTTGCCATACCGATGAAGTGTACAAACCTTATTAGGGCATCACCGCGTATTGTGAGCTTTCCCATTTATCTTCAATCCATGTTGCAAAATGAGTATAAAAATTTGAAATGCGCTTAGGCATTTAAATTCATGCTAGAATGAAGGAAATATGAATGCCAGTCCCGTCAAATATTAAGTGACTTAGCGGCAAGCATGTGTGATGCTTATGTTGTTTTAATGTTCCTTTTAGAGAGGAGGTGGAGAGACGAATCGAACCTCGTGGCAGAGGCATCAGCGTCTTATAACCCGGGAGCGGTTCCGCGCCCACATCTCCTTAAACACTGTACTTGCTTCCCTCATTTACGTATCCTAATAGACTTGTCGAAGTCGAATCAACCTGGGAAGAGGGGATCCACGAGTCTCGTCCTGCACTGGTGGCTGCCTCGGCGGATCTCCACCCTTTCTGAGAATGAGGACGGTTAAGTAGATTTGCTTGTAAACTTAATAAAATAGTTAAAACCAAATTTTTTTAATGATTGAAAAACTAATTTTTAGCATAACTTTGGTTCGAGTCGGACTTTTTTTATTTTTCATCTGCATGAGGTTGTTTGAGATTGAGGGGAACGGATTTATTCTAAATGCGAGCATGTGGGCAGCTGGATAGACCGGTCACATCTTCTTCTACAATCATAGTGAGATTTTGCATTCCATAACAGGGCTAACACCGTCGCCATCTCTTCGCTCAGTGTCAAACAATTTAAAATTTGACCTCTTCTCCAATACAATTAAATGCGCCCCACGTTTGGTGTCATCGCCAATATTCTTCGAATTTGCAACATGTCAAGCTATGCAGGTGATTGTTGGGAGGCCAGTGTCACACCCCAGGGTTTGCTACTCAGTACTGAAAAAAGACCTGTGGAGAAAAAAATGACCACATAACCTAAAAGAAAAACAAATTACCAAATCATTGCATATTTAATCAAATAATTTACGGTAACGAAAGCCTATGAGAGAGGACATTTTGCGAAGTGAGTAAATAGGGCGTTTCTTTCCACGAAACGAATTTTTGGAAAATGTTTAATCCTTACTGAGCGAACGAACACCACCTTAACGGACGAACTTTGCAATCCACCAAATTGGACTTACCTAGCTAAACAGCAACGCAACGTAAAAATTCGCGGCTCCTTAATGGAACCTCGTATTGTGAGAGTAACCTTTTTTTGTATTCCCCAGGTAGTAATCTAAACATTGGAGAAGGATATCAATGCCTTAATGCAACAAACTAATCAGGGCTCACAAGTTGTGACCTGTCCTTTCAGTAAGTAGGAGCTAATGTCTGGTTAACGCTAAATTAAAGTGATGAAGCACTGCTATGCAGGTGATTGTTGAGAGGCCAGTGTCACACCCCAGGGTTTGTGATCCGGAGCAGAAAAAAGACCAGCGAAGACGAACTTGACCGCGTAATTTAAAAGGAAAACAAATTACCAAAATATCGCATATTATATTAAATAATCTACGGCGACGAAAGCCTTTGAGGAGGACATTTTTCGAAGTAGGTAAATGGAGCGTTTCTTTCCACGAAGCGAATTTTTCGGAAAACATTTAATCCTTACTGAGTGAATGGACATCACCTTAAACGACAAATTGTACATTCCACCATTTTGAACTCACCTAGTTAAGCCGCAACGCAACGCCAAATATTGAGGCCCCTTAATGAGACCTCGTACTGTGAGAGCAACCTAGTCTTTTGTATTCCCCAGGCTATGACCTAAACACTGGAGCAGGACATCAATACCTTAATGTAACAAACTAATCAGGGCTGGCAAGTTGTGACCTGTCCTTTTGGCCAGCAATAGCTCATATCTGGTTAACGCTAAATTAAAGTGATGAAGCACTGCAGACATACCTCGATTTACCTTCTACTGAAGTGCCCACTAGAAAAAATGATGCACTGTAAAAAATCACAAGTGTTTCATCTACTATCAAATCATATGGACAAAATAGCTTTATTTTTTGATTTCGCTTTTACGCACTTCATCATGACATATGAGTAGCAGGACTACGTGAAGCAAATGCAGCAAATGAGATTAGCCTCGTCTGTCAAACCAATACTTCTGGGAAACAATGTTATTACACGTCATTTTATTGTCAAATCGTGCAATATATCCTCTGAATGTCAGCGGGATGATCTTTTGGAACTTTAATCCAATTTGTCGTTCTTAGGGGTTCACAACTTCTACTCTTCAGCTGCAACTCTGAAAAGACAAAATTCTTGCGCCAGCAAAGAAGAATTACTCGTCAAATAGGCAATGTTCTCGCATTTAGGTAAGTAAAACTGGCCTGCGTGACAATAAATTTGGATGCCAAGAATTAGATCCTTTACATCCAGTTGCAAACAAGCCATTTTGGGGGAGAAAAGAACTAATGAAAAAATTCACTAACTCTTTGATTAATCAAAACGTGGTCAGTGCATTAGGCAGTAATCATTTATGTAGCTAAAATCTCACAAGGGCCACCTTTATATTTACCAGATTTTTACTGTAGCCAACCCAAATTAAAGCAATCAATTTAAGGCTGCAACAAACTTTAATCAAAATGTTATTTTTTTATGCCGGATGACATTTTTAACGGCGCACTCTGGAAATTACTCATTAAATGAGAAAGGCAGCTGATAAATAAATGACACAACTTATGCTACACACATTACGGGGTCGGTTGCTTTCATGCAAGGCCACATAACAATTACAGAACAACCAGGGGAGAGCAGCCTTGCCTAAATTCATCAAAATATGGTTGAAACTAAAATACAAATAAAACAGGCATTGTATTTTGTACGGCTAGCATTTAACTTCGCCCCATTCTCATTCTCTTCAAAATGCCAACCTTTTGACGTCGTATGCCACTGTAAGGACTGTTCAAAATACTCGTTTTGACTGGTCTACTCCATCGAGCTTTAATCCTAATACGATACAATGCAACGCATCTTGTAAGTAATTTCTCGCATTCGAGCTCAACTGTTAGTAACAATGCCTTTGCATAACGCAGGGAATTCTAAAAATCCGTACGCACAAAATGCAGTGCAACAGAGCGGACTGTGGTGATATTGCTGGTCATCTACAAATAACCGCACTGAACACACCCAAGACAAGTTTATTTCCATGACTTAATCTCGTCCCTAGGTGTGACCATTTAAAGCTCCTTAGGGTAAAATTCTTTATAAATTAATCCGTGCATTGTGTGATTTGAGATTGTATTGACGCATAGATCTGGGATGTCTTTCCCTCACTAGGTTTGGAGAGATATGTCTCACCAAACAGTAATACTCACACGATTAAGCAAAAAAATGATTTGATATTTTAAAAATGCAAAGACTTTAAATCAACCTCATCTTGGAATTCGGCGGCAAGATTGACATTATAGGTATTTTTGGCAATTAATTTAATCAAGTCTAATCATCAGTTAGACCCTTCATCAATTAACAGATCCAGTCATCGTGTTGCTTTCAAAAATTGTACATCGCTTGAGTCTTGCCTGAAGTGATAAATTGTCATAGGATTACGGCAGAAAATAAAGTTGCAAACTTAGAGAAAAACTGTGGAACTACTAACATGACCCGAAGACCGGGTCGTCGAGTGAAGTGTGGTCTGTCGAGAGTTGAGTGCCTGTATCACGGGGAAAGTAGTAAAGCAAACTAGTAATGAATAAAACAGCCTCTATCCACTGCATTCCTACTCATTGTGTTAAGTAGTCTGCCGGCTATTACTTAATCCAGCATTATGCAGCTAAGTAATGGTTAGACGACGCAAGAAAACGCCCTTAAGTAAACACGGCATCAGTGAACCGAACTTCAGCATTGATTCTGCGTTCCGCCGAATATCATCTTCATTTACGCAATGGTGAATTTCGCTGCATCATGTTTCTCACTTCCTCAGATCAGAGTGCGCTCATTATGATACGCTGAACGCATAGCGACCTGACGACACTCAGGAAATTTACCTGTCAGTGGACAATAAAATAGTACTAAATATAAAAAATTGAATTTTGCATTAAATTATAGCTAAATGCACCAAAAAGTGGAGCTTTGTCTTTCTGTGCGAGCTTGCGGAAATTGGGATGAATTATGAAGTATGGTTCCCAACCATTACCCATGGATACGGCATCTAAGTATTGACATTTACTACTGGATTGAGTGGAATAAAAGTGAAGCGACAGGAAGTTCTGTGGGGTGTTTCTTATGCTAATATTCAATGTTGCTGTATTCGGTGACAACACCGACAATGCAGCAAAAGTTGGCGGTTCACCTAAAATGAATGCCTCACTTGTAATAACAACCACACGAGCAGCCGACACTGACACAAACAATTCAACAACGGGGATGTTGAATCAGAGGCTGAAATTCTCGGAGCCAAAACAATGGTCGATATTGGCAAGACAGTAAACATGGGGACAATAAAATTCAACAACTTCACACTAGCTCTCATCCCACACCACTATGTCAGTGTAGGTACAATTTTACCTGAGCATAGTGCCGACGCATTCAAGGTAGGTGCCAGAAGAACTTTTCTAAATGTCACTCGATTCTATGCTCCCAATGAAATGTTCATCGAGCATAATCCTCAGTGAATGCCATTTTCATCGGAATATGGCTTCCTGACTAACAATGGGGGAAAGATGGGCCACGATTTGCGGCTATCATTTTTGATTAGTCCAGATGGGAGCTAAGAATGGTCACTCATAACAATGACATCGTCAACGTAATAAAGAAAGTAAGTTATTCCAAATCGATGGAGGCTATCATCTTCCCTTTGAGAATGTACACAGACTAGATCTTGCAGATCTGGTAGTACAGTGCCTATTCAGCGATTGAAAAATTCTTCTCTCCTTTCATTAATCGAAGTGTGTCCATTCAGATATGCTTTAGCGTGTCCAACGAATAAGGGAAAAATAAGTTAAACTGAATGAATCGCAGCAATAGTTCCAATGTTTCCACTTCAAAGGTCAACCAAGTGTAAACAAGCACATAGGTAATGACATAGGCATGACAGCCCACTTGCGCCTTTCTAACACCATCAGCTTCGAGCAAGCGTAGCTGTACTTCCAAAGTGGAATAATGTCGCTGATGAGCCGGTGCTCGGTAGTCACTGAGTGGCATGATTTGCATTCGAGGTTGTACCGGTAAGTGGATTTGGTAGAGAACAGCAAAGGAAGCATGTGACACCATGGCCGAGGTAATGAAAAGCCAAATTGTCTTACAAAGTGTCAGAACTGCAGAATATGGTGTGTGAAGGAAGGCTAATTCTAGGTCAAGTGTTATTTTGAATCTGCGATGCATAATTTTATTCCATTGTTTGATATTGCATGTGAATTTGCTATTTACTTGTAAAATTATTTGTGGGACACACATGTGTTGATATTTTAACCCGCAACTGAAAACGGAGAGTGATTTCATAATATCTAGGGTGAATTATCACAATCCTGGTGTGCAAATGCATGGAGAACATTTCATTCCGTATCCCTAATAATAGTTATGAAGTAGAATGATTGGCATGTAAGCAGGAGATCAGCCTAAGCCGAAGTATTTTTATGGGAGAGTTGAACGCAAAGAAGGGATGGAAGTGCAACCAACAAGAGCTTCGATGGTGCTACCAGAAGTTGCCAAGTTGGGGGTGTGACAAGAAGATGATGTCGATACTTGGGCACTGTTAAATATTCTTTAACGTGTCTGCAATTCCACAAACACCTTCGTGTTTAAGCTTTCCATTTAAGCTTGGGCATGCTTCTAAAGCAGAATTTCGAGCATGCTTCCCCTTGCTGCCACAGTTTATGATCACTTCAAAGGATGATCTTGTTCCAATTTCAAGGCGTATTTATTGTTTGATGACCGTGTCAACAGAGATCCACGTCTCCTTCCTTGCACGACTTTGTCCGTTTGTATAAAGACCGTTTTTATCTATTGTTGTGATTTATTCTCTGCAGTGTAAGCATTGAAACTCTGAAAATGCCAATTCGTGTGAGTCGGAAAACAATTTGTCATATCGCTCAGCCTTAGTTTACACTATTCTATGCGGGGAAACAGACAACGAGTGATTAATTTGTAACGAAGCAATGAGAGCAAGCAAAAGAACCGCTAGAATGCAGAGGAAGTCGGTAGCAGAGAGAGATATGGATAGACGACAACAAGGTCGAAGTTTGAGTCTACGAGAGACCCCTTTGCAGCTTCACTGACTGCACATTGAGATGCTTGAACGCAGAAGGAGGAGGGGGAAGAAGAAGGGTTTATCATCAGATCATACAGCGAAAGGACGGCAACGCGAGATGCTATAGAAGTGTAGGGCTATTCGACTTCAAGAAATGTTACACATTACATCAAACGTCATCTCTAGAATGAATCGTAAATGCCTTCCACGCTGACGGCATTTCCTTATCCCCAATTGCCATCAGAAGGAGTGACGATGCGATTAAAATGATGACGAAGTAGACAGAAATGCAGACAAGCATCGCACTGTGATGCCATTAAAGGATGTACTTGAAGTAAGTGGATTTAAACATGGAAGTAATTCCTGCCATAGCGGTGATCAGATGTGTGCATGATTAGGAGTAAACAATCTGCTTCACTGCTCCATTTTCTTCACTGAGTTGGTATTCAATTCAAAATGGAGCCTCTATTGTATGTAGCATTCGACTTGCACCATTAGGAGCTAATTGTTAGCCTTGACCAGTGCCTGTTGATGGTGCGCTTGTCATTTCTCGGTTTAGATGAAACAGCGGTAATGAGGATGGTAGACGATTGTGGTGCGGCGTACATGCGCATGTGGCGACGCGTAATGATGCATCAAATTTCTCGCAAACATGGACCAAGCAGCTAATGCAGGAATATTCATGCACACCGAAGACTTCCATCGCAGTGCATACCGTGATGGTTTGCATAGTGGGTGAGTAGGAGACTCTTCTTCTTGCTGTTGTTAGGACTACAACGAGGATTGCACATCTGTACGTGGGTGAGAGTCAGAACCTCGGTCGTGGCCTTCTGACAGTGAACCGCAGTGTATTGCGGCAAAGGCAGTCATTTCCGTGAACATTCCACTGGCCTGAAGAATGTCTCATTCTGCACATGTGGTTGACACATGACCTGTGGTGTGACGAAGTTGCGTGGCAGATTATGCATCCACTTTGATGCTACGCATCTTCCCTTTCAAGATGAGAAAGTGCAATTTTGATATGTATATTTCCCTTTTTGATGGCCCTTTCCAAATGAAGTTCAAACTTTGATCTTTTAAATCGTAGCACCGCGAACGTGGCGAGGGAGAACACTGATGGTAGGCAATAAGAAATATGGAGTTGACAGAACGACTCATACCGAATTGTGGAATACTCCTTTAAGTGTCATCTTTTGTCAGGTATATCAATCCCCTTTACGAGCTACAGCTCTTTTCCAACGGGACATAAGCTAGCCGCCAGTGTCAACTTATGGGATATGTTGTGCTTTGCGAATGGAAGAGGCCAGACCCAAGCTGCTTCGTTCCAGGTCTACTTCAGGAGAATGTGACAAATGTCATGCAGTCAATTACTACTAGTGGAGTGAGTTAAATGAGGGCACTTCACATGTTGTGGGTGGTGCTCGTGTCTGGAGAAACATCCTCCAAATCAACGACGTCGGAACGGATCTTGATTCAGGAGATTGCAAAGAGACCTTAGTGCACCTCGATCAACTGGTAATTAGCCAATGCCAAAATAAAGCATTTAAGAGTTTAAACCAAAGTACTCAATCATAATCAGAGACTGGATTACGCACAGACGCAACGATAGAAAAGCAAACAAAATTGAAAGGCATTGGAATGGAGAATAAAAAATGGGCAGAGAAAGTGTATAATGTGGATGCAGCGGTGGAAAGAGATGTGATGTTAAAAGTAAATGAGATAAATCGGGAGGGGCAGCATAACTGTAAAGGAGCAGCCAGCATGCATAATATATGTTACAAACTGTAGTAGGCATAGAAGAAGAAATTAGGAGGGCGGCCGTCGCATTTCCAACTACTACTCCCTTTTGTTTCAGCAGCAAGTATTTAACCCCTTCTCCCTTAAATGTAGCAATAAGTTTGGAAACACTGGATCTTTTTAAGGCACTATCTACCTATCTGTCCATCTCCCTTCCCATTTATCTGCCAGCCTACTTATTATTTATCAGTCACCGAATCAGGCGTAGATGAGTGCAATGACCGACGTAACAACAAATTTTTGCTCCCATCGTTGGGCTGCAGTCAGGCTTGTTTGCTTGAGAAACACTTATGCCTAACATACAATCTATACATCCCTTAATTAAGGCTAAAATTTGAATAAACAGCTAATTTCAGTATAGTTTATAGCAAATATAGTAACTACAGAAGTCTTTCTGTACTATTTTAATCAGCAAATTACGCAATAACCATTCCATTACCTCTATCTATCAAGAAAGGAGATGAATGCATAGCCCTTATACATCCGACAGGTACATCATTTGAAAAGTCAGTAAAACGATGGAACCTGAATATTTGTTTTTTCCACGTCTTCATTGCCCAAATGTCAACGCTATTTGGTCTTTAACCAGAGGGTTCTCAACTCTCATCGAAAATGATACTCCTCAACTAGAACCACAATCTTAAAAGAATAGGGAACACTAAATAAACTAACCGGAAATTCACCCACACTGGGAACACTGACCAGGATAAAGGGAACAAGAGTAGGTGCACAAACTCATCTTTCATTGTGCGCATGCTTACTCGTGTAGCACGTAGCTGAGTATGCATTCATAGGAGGTAAGTTGGGGCAGCTCGTTGGAAAGCACTAAAATACAGTCAAACAATTATCTGATTGCTGCTTCTGTGGTTAAAGGTACGAATTATTTGAATAAAATAGGTAGGTCATGAAGCCACTCCCAACTCTTGATCATGTGACAATTCCCTGTCGTCTTCAACTATCCAAAAGACCTCTGGGATGGGATGCAGCACAATTAGATGCGACATTTGTCATGCTTTATCATCTAAGCAGTGGTTAATGGATTTGGCTTATGTGACCTATTTTCAACGGGGCAATTACTAACTACACACTGTGAATGCTCTTGCCCCAATGTGTTATCGGGTCTAAGGAAAAGGTATTGAAACAGCACAAAGGCACTAGAAACCTGCAAAGCTTTGTCCCTGTAATACTATTTTATTTCGTTCTACCACGATCACAGCATGAATGGAATGTGCTGGAGTGCGAGTGACGCACAAGAGGACGACAATCCCTTCAAACTCCTCCCAGTCCCGATCAAGGGATTACAAGAGTACTCGAAAAAGAGATACTGTTAAATATCGGCCATTAGGTTGATTGATAAGAGTCAGCCCAGAGACTTCGACTCGATTTTTGAATTTGTCATGGCGCTCATGAAGAGATTTGACGTAGGAGTGGCCAGTCTTTGTAAGGGAACAAGCCACCGCTAGCTTCAATAGGTCATGCTGACACGGCCTCATATCCGAACACAACACCCGCAATCTAACGGTAGTAACAGTAACCATTACACATTGCTCAACCATAAGCAATTGTGTCGCATGTGGAGAAGATGTGAAGGGCAGGAATGATTAAGTTCTCTGCTACAGCTACCAGCGGCAAATATCATGCCCATGCGGCATTAGATAGGTATGCCTTTCAGTGATAAGCATCGGTCTCGACTAAAATAAGGTAGTAATCCCACCCCGTCCCTGAAACAGGATGAAAATGAAGGAAATGGAATCAGTTTTCTACCTCATGCTCATATTGTGGAGTGCAATAAGGCGTTTATTACCACACAGATCCTTACCCTTTCGTCCCTTGTCGATACTACTAAGCTAGTCCGCGATGATTTCGTAAAATGTCCGTTGGAGTGCAGCCATTTAACGCATATCTTTCTCAAAATGTCCTACAAGTTCCATTTTTGCCCTGAAGCTTAACTGGCACTTCTGAAAGACTCAGGTATGCCCCACTGAGTGACGAGTGGGTTCAAAGGCAAGTGATTTCCCCAGTTAACATATTCGAATTATGTTATCGGCAAAAACGATGTATGGAGATATGCTCGATGATAAGCGAATATTGATGAACAGGAGAGCAGACAGTCGGAAAAAAAAAAACAGAAAGCGTACGAAAACAAAATGACGCACACATATGTGGGCATAGAAAGTGAACGGAGAAACTTGAGATGTCGAAGGAGGGAAAGCATACTGACACAGTAGTCTTTAATCCCTATACAAACCATTAGCGTTCAACACCCAAGAAGTTTCCTCTCTCGTGGTCGCTTGTGGGAACCATGCAAGAACCGCCTCTTAATCAGTCATTTCCCCCTGATTAACAGATATAGCTTCAGCTGGGATTTGAGTGCCCTATCAGGCATTCTGAGTCCAAGATATATTAGATGACACTGGTAGGTAAGCTTGATTATGCCCACCGACTAAATCAGTCCAGTCTAGGCTGCATTGGCCAATCATTGGATGCACGCACACTGCAGGTGAGTGTGTTGACTAAAAAAAGGCCACCTGCCCAGCGTGCTTCTTTGCACGCCTATCTAGTGCGAGAGATAAACAGGGTCTTGTTCCCTTGCACACGTATCTTCTCCCGATTAGCACAATGCTAAACGTGCAGGATAAGTAGGTTGACAACTCATTAATTTTAACGATTGACCTTAAGCAGCTCTTCATCACTTCCTAATTTTGTACTCAATTGCCTTAGCTCCCACCATTCTGCACATACCATCCTCCGCCATTGTTTTCGCTTTCAAGCACTCTGCTTGCGCAGTAACCACTAGCATTGCAGCCAAATCTTCCACCAATCATACTCACGAAGTGTAAGAATGTGGTCTACATTGCTCTCCAAGTTATCTTGCATTTCTCTCATTATGATCTCTCTGCTTTGTGCATCTCACTCTAAGCAAACTAACTAATCTCTGCTGCGTCAAGTCGATAACGAGGCTTACTTGTGTGAAAGCAGAGCAAATAACGCTACTGAAATTGATTTGAGTACAGGCCTCATGTGATTGGCTATTCAAGATTTGCACACAATACGATCATTTGAAGTAGGCGAAACGACGTTCTCAGTTAGGCGCCTTTACTTTGAAGGAGCAATCATGTTTGTCACTGCTAAAACCATTCTACTCCCAAAATTATTTTTTTTCACCACTTAACAATGCACTGTTTTGTATCAGTTTTGCATACAAAGGTGAAATTGCAACACTGCGCTGAATACTTAGTGGTGGAAAGGGTAGATGAAATGGTTGTAGAATGGACACAGGATGGATTGAGAGGAAGATGTGATAATTGGGCAAGATGCTTCCCCAATCTTTACTAAGGAGTGATGGAAATGCCTCAACCTTAAATATGCCGATTCCGTTGCATCGAAGTTATAAATGGAACGTGCGGCACGGCGTGTCTCAATTTTAAATTGTGTTTTTCCAACAGAGTGGCTACGACCATTCCGAAGGCCAAGTCTGACCATGAGCCAATGCTTCGTCCTTCCTATTGTGCAGTAGTCTAAAACTTGAGGGTCACTACTTTGAGACTTTGCTGATTGAGGATTACGGTTTCGAGCGCCTTTTCTGATTCACAGCCTGGTGAGGTGACAAATCTTGTGGTGAATAGATTTCCTGGACGGCTATTCCGGCCATTGTGGCAACCCAAAACAACTCTTACATTTGTCTACGCAAAGCTGCTTAACAGAGAAATGTTCTTTCCCTCATTGCTTTCCCGTTTGACAGCTACTTTGACAATCGTCTACCTCTCCACACAACACCGACACACGGGGCAACCAATGCTGGTGGGATTCCCGAATGCGCCTTTGTGATGTGTAATTTACGAGCACTTGACCCATTTGACCTCGAGTGATAGATAACATTGCATTAGGTATTAGAACACCTTGACACTGCGCGGTTAGTACCATCAGTCTTTAAAACCTTTCCCTTCTTCTTAAGAGGTAGAGCAAACTGGTCGAAGACACTGCCAAAAGTGGATTTAAAATCATTTCTTTTTGTGCTATTACAACGAATAAAATTGGTTTGGAGAAAATGCACCACGTGTAGTGTCATAGCTGAGTTGTGGCCGAAGCACCTCGATCTTCTCAATAACTTAAGTTTGATGTTGTCAGTGCCATTACCTGCTTTAACCACAATTACACAATGACCGGGCCTCTTCACCTCCCTCTAGTGCATTTTCGCATACAATCCTCTAACACCCGCATTGCTACTGCTTTTCAGGTCGGGGTAGCGGATCCATCACCTTAGCGGCCATTAAGTGACCTCACCGGACATCCTCACTAACCACAGAAGCTGTCTAGCATTTCGCATTAGTCATTGCCTGCAGTAGAGGGGGACAGTACAGCCTGAATTACTTCAAAAGTGGACCATTGTTTAAAATAGAGGCCTACTTGGTGCATTTGTAATTGAGGCTAATGTTGTAGAAAGATGAAGAAAGGATTTGTCCCTACGGTCACATTACATTTTAAAATTACAATGACGGTAGAGGATAGGCATCCTTTTCTCTCTCTGTGGAAGGTCATTATGAAAAATGACACTTCTGTGGAGTTACCAGGGCTTCCATGGCGGTGCATAGTCGTCAGTCGTAAATGCGCGCCCATAGCCAGGGAAGAGGTTACCACACCGAATGTGTTCCATAAAGGCAATGACATTACCATTATAGATTCAACAACTTACTAATCACCTAAACTTTTCGTATATATTTCTTTTCGTTTAAAGAAACTTCAAGTGAGAGTGTGAAAGGGATGTGGGATGGACAACTGCTTTGACTCCCACCTGTTAAAATGTCGTTATTGGAGGTACATCCACATTCGGCATAATAGCTTTCTCCATTTTAAAGATTAACATTTAATCGAACCAGGGCGTGTCGTAGTAAGTACTTTTACTTAAAAAAGCCATAATGGAATGTGAAGTAAGTTGACTCACATCAGCTCCACTCATTCAGAGCTGCCTCAGTGACAAAATGCTTTGTTGGGCTTTGCATTGAGTTTAGCGAGTTGAACCACACTTATTACCTGATCTCTGATGACAGCTAAAAATCATCAGTTTTGCATCTGAGAAGGTTACTTGTTCTGTCAACGTATTTATTGCGAGGGTAAGGTTTATGTGCTTCGTCAGAGGCGACTCCGGAGAGGAGGCAAGGTGCTACAATTTGATTTTGTATAAAGGTTTAAACATACTGTAGATAAATTCCAGTGCTTCCAGATGCAGTCGTAATAAACCAAAGTGGCATAGGAGAACATGCCATTTACGGAAGGACATGGAGGTTATTAATACAGACTGAAGGTTATACCGTAATGCAAGAGAACGACCTCCGGAGGCTGAAGTGCCTGTGTAGTTGAATACGCAGCCAAACGAAGCACCATGTTACTACACAAATTCATTAATTCCATCAAAATACCGCCCCTGTAGAGTAAAATGCCAGAGCATGAGGCTTACTTATTATAAAGGTGGAAAATTTACTTAATGGGAAATGCAAAGCCTTATGTCGTCGTAAAGGCACAAATGTACGGCAAGACGCTTCTGCCGAATGATGGATTGCATTGGAACTTGGCCAGACCTCCACTTTGTAACTACTATCCCCATAATTTGATGCATATGGTAGTTCTTTCAACGAATTATCAATGGATGCACTTTGAAGGGAAATTAGCTACCCTCCCAAGGTTTAAGTGGCACTGCTTGGAGTTAATTTTTTTTTTTCAAGTGAAGCACACACCCGCTAGGTGGTGATGGCATTCTACAAGACTACCGTGTGTGTATACAGAAATAATAGCTCAAGACCACAGGTGGGTGGAGTGATGTGAGGGAAAATGTGACGACTACAATCATTTTTAACCAAGTCAAGAACTGTAAATCTACACTCCCAGAGTTGTCCCAATTACCCCTACAGTGAAATGGCGAATTGGCCTTTTCACCACCTATATCCATACATATATATATATACACACACACACACACACGGATACGGACAGGCGCCTTAGTGAGGAAACAATTTGCACCACCACCGCCATCTTCCCAAGAGCAAATGATTGCTTAAAAAAGTAAAAAGTCAAGCTCTCATAGAAGCATTAGAAAAACTTGCTATGGCATCATATGTACTGGGAATAAAGTGAATGGCAACTTAAAGTACTGTATCTGCAAATTTCGTCTTTTTTCCTTTTTATTCCTGCCTTGATGATTCGAATTCATAGACAAGAGCAATGAGGTGGAAAGCTAACTCTTTGGAGGTGATAGAAAGGTTTATTTACGATGAATACTTAGTTTAACGGAAAAATATGTCATTAAATATGTGTTGTGAAGTTCACACAGATAGAGGGGGTAATGTTTGAAATAGAGGCAGAGCCGATGGGTGGACATCAAGGCGCAACGAGAACATTGAGCACACTTTTCGGCACTCTTCCACGTGTCAAACCCTTGTTCATTGCCATAAAGTAGGTACTGTCACATTCGAACAGGAGGTAGATCACTTCACCAGCCTTAAAGACAGCACGTCAATCAAATATAATGAAAGTTAATGTGGAAAATAGGGGTTAAACAGGGCTATTCTATTATCGGTGTTGAAAATTACCCCAACGGAGAGATCGTCATCTCCGGTGCCGACAAAGTCCTCAATGACCTCGGCTCGTGGCCTACGCTGCAGCACCTGGGCCAGCTCAAGGGTGGAGCTGATACGGCGCGCGTACTCACTGGGCACAACCACTGGCTTCCCTGACCACGTTTCGCACTCAAGATATCTATCCACGGGCAGAGAAGCAGGCTCGCTTTCAAGGTGCTTTGGATCAAAATCCAACCACCGCACGATATCATTGTTCTGCCGCAGAAATTAAAATTAAGTCACTTTTTATGCACAAAGACAAGTCCGGCATGCAAATAAGGGATTGACCTAATCGAAAAGAGCGTATTCACAAACATTTGTAAATTTCATACTTTCAAATATGTTTGTACCTTAAATTCCAGCGATATTGTTTGCTCTGCCTCGGGTATGTTCTTAATCATCAACCACACGACCCTTCTAGTTGAGAGTTCCTGCTGAAAAGGTTGGAGAGATAATGCAGACCATTTGAAAGGCTTAAATTCCACTTAGCGGAGAAAAGTGAGATGCCGAGCTCAGTAAAAAATTAGCGATAAATTTTAAGCTCCATCCAGCACTTTTCGAACAAAAATACCCTTTAAATGACATTGACAACAATTTAACAAAGAAGCAATAAAATTTACCGTTGGCGACACTGCTGGTGCAGCCTTTTCCGAGCTGAGGAAGAAAAATGGATATCATTCCCACTTTAAGAGGTTACATGCATTGGCAGGTTCATGAAGCATTAACCGAACGTTAGGTGGAGGAGTTCCCAAGTTATCGTTGAGGGCTTACGGCGCTGCTCCAGGCTTTGGGGAGGCGTCCTGAAGAGGCTATCCAAAGGCAGGCAGGCAGTCAGATTACTTCTACGGACTACCTACCTCATGACAAGATAGCTAACTAGTTTGTAAAAATGTCGACTCATTTCTTATTGTATCTGTTGTCACAGTAACGTGGTGATTTGATGCTTTGTTTAACTACGCGGGTATTTAAGTCCTCGCTCACTGGCGTGGCCTTTGGAACAGGTTGATAGCCGCCAGCTCTTCCCTACGTTTGTAAGTAGTGTGATCTGCTATACGGCTTTGGCTTGTCACAACTTCAGAGGAGACAAGAAGCGTTACAATGGAAAGGCTCTGAAGGCACCATTTACACCGCTGAAATTCTAAGCATCTGTTAATGTGTGAGGTCTAGGCACAAGAATAACATACCTCCGGTGTCCTAAAACAAGTAATTCCCATTACATAACATGATGAATACACGAAAGATGTAGAAATCAGCCTTAAATAAATTGGGGAAGTAAGTTCCCTCGACAAACATTTCATCAGTCTTTGCAGTAGACAGCCATGCTTAGTAAACTTTTTAAAATCATTCAAACAGATAGAGTACCCGCGAGATTTTATTTTTATGCGTCACCCTTAAAAACAAAGTGGTTTTTATTCCAACCAACTACACACCTACAACATTCACTAATAATAGACGTTTTGATGGTGATTTGTGTGGACTTTTAGCTACAATTCGACACACATGAATCCACCAACGTGTGGAGTCCATTGTGCAGTCAATTGCGTTGACGCTGCAATTCCCTTTTGACCGCCTATTCTTCGGTACAGTTTCGGTGGAAGATCATCAAACAAGACTAACGTGCATTGTCATTTCCTTTGACATTTGCCCACATCAAATATGATTGGCAGTGAAAGTACTAACGCAAAGGAATAGGGATGAAAAGCCTACCCTTTCCTTTCTGCTTGGTCCTGCAAAAGCAAAAATGACTTTGAGTAGGTAGGCCACATATAAGTGTGTCAAGTGCATTAATTGTTCAAAAAATTCCATTATACGGTATTAACTTTTCGCACACGATTATAATGCAAGAG